GTCAAGATACAGGTTGAAATTTAATACATCGAAATTAATAAAATATCAATGATTGGTTTCAAATAATGACCTGCAGTTTGTATATTATGTCGTGCAGAATCTTATTACCTGTCATCAACTTTCTGATATTCATTTCCATAATAATTCAGAAGAGAGTATAAGTTTAGAAGTTAAGTAATTTCCATTACAGAGAGTCTGTAGTAATGTAAATCGATTGGCAATTAAAAGTTATGTACACACCATTAGCAATAGTACAACAAACCAGCGAACGAAATAAGTTTTCAATGCAAATTCATCATGTTCAATACATTAATGATCATTTTCCCATGCGTTTACTTTATTGAATAACCTATAATGAACGAATTTTAATGTTCATACATGAATAATTTACTGTAATAATTATCATAGATATTAGCAAACACACTTATTAATAACTTTGTACATTTTTATGTTAATTAATTTATTCACTAAGAGACAATTAATAACAGTCATCTAATAAGCAGTAATTTCAGTGGTGATGCCACTACCTTCCTGAAATATTAATGCGTACAGCAAACACGAGAATTTTATCTACATGCTGTGGTCTGTATAGATGTTAACAATTATTATATTGCTAACTGATCTAATTAAAAAGTTACAGAATAGTGTTAAGTAGCAGATGTTCCAGTTTCACTGAATAAAACCGATTACAGATTATCTATTCATGGCAGACATTTAGTTAAACTATTTTAAGTTTGAAAATTTATTAATGGCTGAGTTTCGTAGATACAAAATATGTCTTAGTTGTCTGTTGCAGCCTCATATGTCCAGTGCGCTAATTTATGGGTGGTACTTTTTCGTTCCATGCTACTACTGTGGATACTTAAATTTCAAATATAAATTATTACAAAAATTCTTTTTATGCTTTGTGGAATTTGTAATTTGGCAGTTCTTTTTATTACTACTTTTCATGACAATTCTGTCTGTTGCAGAAAACACACCTTGCTTCGACTGGTATTCAGTAGTAGATTATAACATCTTTCTCAGGATCTGCATTTCCATATTATATTTAGCTACGGCGCTCTGTTTTTCGCATATAAAACGCAAGAAAATAAATCCTATAATAATATTAATGGAACCAGATAATTTGTCAATTGAAGATTTAAACAAGTCAATTCACAAAATTATTATCGTCATGCTTATAATTCTGTTATGTTTCACTTGTGCATTGCCAATTTTCAATATCTATGTCACATATTCAGTACTACATAACAGTAACAAATATGATTCAATGAATCTTTTCTGCATTATAGAACTCGGTGTCTTAACAAATTTTAGTACTGGATGATTGATTCATTTCTTATTCATCCTGATATTTTTTTATTTAGTTGTGAAGAAAGGATTTCAAAAAGTCTCAAATGATTTAATTTCACTTGATAAGAACAATTCAAATTTAAGTTTTAAAATAGAACAGATAATGTTGCAGCATTCCGAATTTTGGGTCTTTGTCAATCAGATTAACACACAGTTTAGTTTATTACCTGTAATATTGTATTCCACAGTTCTATTAGAAACTAGTCTCTTGTATTATGTATTTATCTTCACTGAATTGAACTCGATAATCAGATTTATTCTTCTTGTACTTATTATTTTAGTTTCAATCGTGTGCCTTTCACTGGGTTACACATTTTCAACACTTACATCTACAGTATGATATTAATTTTTCTTTTGAAACTATTGCTAAATTACTTTTACTACACTTAATTTTCATATTTTTCAGATGCAGACCTCGTTTCAAGATATTCGAAGGTTTTCTGCGTGCGATTTGTCGCTTGAACAGAAACTAAAAGTGAGTTTTACTTTAACTCTTTTATTTGTTATAAAGATAATATTAAAATGTATTTTATTTATTCAGATTTTAAACTTCATGAAGAGATTTGGAAGAGTGTCATTATTTATATCAATAAGAAACTATTTCAACGTTACGAGAAAGTTTCCAGTTAAAGTATTTTTATTTTTTTAATATTTTTATCTCTAAATATGTGTATAAACTTTTTTTATTTCATATATTTCATACGATTTCTTTTAGATGGCTAAAGCACTTCATTCTATATTTTCGGGCCTTCAGAAACTTAGGACAGCCTCTGCAAATTGAAAATTTTCCATTTAGGTGTTATTCCGAAGATATAAACCACGTTTTAAATTTTCATTTGTTTTGTCTACAATGAGCAAAAAATTACTTTATATATCTTCTGCTGTGTTCAGTATGCAGAAGCAAAATTACCAAATATTACTTTTTATTGACGAACCATTCGGCGCATTATAATGTTGTCGGTAGAACCCTATTCTTTGAACTGGGATTAACCGAGTGACCTTCTTATCTAAGGTATTCATTTTAATGGAAAATGAATTTTCTGTTTTTTGTCTTTATCCCTTACATTGTCTGCGTATTTTTTTTCTGCTATGATATAGCTGAATTTTGTACCATTCGTTTGTTGAAAAATGAACGTTGTTCCTCTTCAAGGTTTTCACGTTTTATAAATATTTATAACACGTAACAGAAACGTTACAACCTGTCAGAATAATATTCAAATGCAGACTTATCTGTAAGTGTCATTATAGAAAATAATGACACTTACAGATAATCTGAGATGTAAAAAAATTGCCAAAAATCGAAACTTATGACAATCTGGATGACAGTGAAAGTTTTTGCTTACAAGTTTTTCCTTTGTAAAGAACAGCTTGGCTCTACAAAGAGAATTGTAGAAACAAATTATAAAAACCCTGTGAGTCAAATTATCTACAAATTACAAAACGGTAATTTCCGAAAGGAATAACAGTTGCGCGATTGATTTAATGGCATATGACAATATAACACAAAAACTTCACCAGAGGCATCCCACTTGGCATATTACCATATGCCAAGTGGGACATCTCTAGTGAAGTCCCACCAGAAACTGTCCCCTGTTTATATTTCAGACATGTGAAGAAAACCCAGGGAACTACACATGTTAGCGTTTTGGAGAAGAGCGAACCCGTGACCATTTAATCTAGTGTTCAGTGATTTTATTCACACGGCCACAGGTGAGCAATGCAGGTTGGATAGCCACTGGTATGGAAGACTTCAAATCGAAACCAGACAAGTCAACAAATCCAAATATTTTTGAAGAGAGTGATTCATTTTAGATTTGTTGGGTCCTGTCCCTTACCACCCAGCTTCTACATTGTGGACCTGGATGAATTCACCAAAAGCTTGAATAAAGGCCTTAAATTATATATGATGTAAATGTAAATTAATATGTTATTGAATGTAAATTATATAATCAATATATATTATAAAGGTGAGTGTACAATGAGCGTGCCGCTAAAACTCAAAAACAAGTCCCAGTATGATCAAGGAAATTATATGGTGTAATAGCCCTCTATCCCCTCTATCCTCCATTGTAATAACAAATACAGAGATAAAATTTTGTTGAAAAAAATATATACTTTTTACCACATTACGTATACAATTATTTAGCATAACCATGAAACGCAACCATAAATAATTACATTACGAGTTACCACCAACTACTTAATAACTAACAAAAATATAACTTCAGAAGCTTTGGAATAAACATACATTATTTGAAAAACTCATAATACTTATATTACAATAGATAAAGTGCTTTAAAAACCTGTAAAAAAATTACTGCTATGCAGTCGTAAATTAGTAATTTCTCATATTATTAATATCGAAATTGCAAGTAATCAAGATAAGCAAGCAATATCATCTATAACAATAAAATTTATTATAGAAATTTTCATTATCTAATGGTAAATCCATCAAAGACGATTATCTAACATTGCACTAATTAAAGTAGTAATACCACTGCAGTCTAATTAATTCACATTTAGATGACTAACTCTCACTTTAATTAGTGCATTTTTATTAATTCAATGAGAAATATAGTGGTACTGCTACTATATTCCTGCAATAACATTACTTAATAAAAGCAGAAGCGGTTCGAAAATACTGCTGCATGAAATAATTTTTAAAAATTATTCTACAAAGTATCTGAAAAAATCCAATTAACAAAATAATAATAATTTCTATCAATTCCATTTTTATTTAAAGTAATCCATTATAATTTTTTTCTATTACAGACACTCCAGTTGATCCGTTTCTAGTTTCGGAATTTACTCATGGCCGAGTTTCGTAGATACAAAATATGTCTTAGATGTCTGTTGCAGCCTTACATGTCCACTGCAATAATCTACGGATGGAATTTTTTCTATCCATGTTACTACTGTAGGAAGATTCATTCCGAATCTAACTTTCTGCATAAGTACTTATGCTTCGTGGAATTTGTATGTTGGGAACATTCTTTCTTATTATTCTTGATGACAATTCCTATTCTGGCTGAAAACACACCTTGCTTTGGTTGGTATTCAATAGTCGATTATAATATCTTCGTCAGGATCTGCATTTCTCTTATATTTTTGGCTACGTCGCTAACTTTTTCTGTTGTTAAACGCAATAAAGCGAATCCGATTATCGTATTAATAGAGCCAGATAATTTGCCAATTAAAGAATTAACCAAGTCTTTTCACAAGATTGGCATTTTCATGCTCATAACACTTTTATTTGTCACTTTTTCTGTACCAATTTATAATCTTATTATCATATATCCAGCATTAGATACAACTAACCAAACTGATTTTCTCAATCTTTTTTGTAGTATACAATTGGGAGTTTCAACAAACTTTGTTGCTGGTGGATTGATTCATATTTCATTTATTCTTATATTTATTTACTTGATTATGAAGAAAGGATTTCAAAAAGTATCAAATGATTTAATTCTAGTGAACAGTAATAATTCGAATTTAAGTTCAAAATTAGAAGAGATAATCATGCAACATGCCGAACTTTGGAACTTCGTTAATAACATCAATACTGATTTTAATTTACTATCTCTAATATTGTATTTCACAATTCTAGTAGAGACTAGTCTTCTGTATTATATATTTATTTTCACCGAATTGAACTTAATAGTCAGATTTATTTTTCTCCTATTTGTCATTATAGTTTCAATCGTATGCCTTTTTTTGGGTTACGCATGTTCAACACTTACATCTGCTGTATGATATCATTTTCTTTCAAAGTTATCACTAAATTACTTTTATTATATTTAATTATTTTTGGTGTTTTTCAGATGCAGACCTCGTTTCAAGATATCCGAAAATTTTCTGAATGCGATTTGTCGCTCGAACAGAAACTAAAAGTGAGTTTTGATACCTCTAAATACCTCAATTCATTAAATGACATATTGAAATATATTTACTTACAGATTTTAAACTTCATGAAGAGATTTGGAAAAGCGTCATTATGTTTGTCAATAAAAGGATACTTCAATGTTACAAAAAAATTTCCAGTCAAGGTATTTTTTAAGTTTTATATCTAAAATTCCGTAATTAATATGCATTTTATATTCTTAACACGATCCTTTCAGATGGCCAACGCTCTCCATTCCATATTTTCTGGTCTTCTGAAACTCAGATCGTCTACTGCAAATTGAAAAGTTTTTTAATCGTACAAATAACGTCGATAGTAAAATACACTTTTTAAAATTTAATTTGTGAAATTTAAAACGACGGAACAATTCTTTCCTCTTACGTAACTTATCGATAAGCAGAAGCAATAATATACAACACATACTTTCATTATATAAATGTCGAAGTTTTCATTTTAATCCTGAGAGATGTTAATAGCGAGATCCTGACGCTACTAAACTATATCTGCAGTGTTACTCGGTCATTACTAAATCAGTAACACAAAAAAATATCATTCGGCAATTTTTAAGAGATATTTATTTGAAAATTTTCTATTTTCATTATTGAAAGATACGTTCTGCTTCTACTTACCAAATGTAAAACATAATTCTTGATATGAAGATTAAATACTTAATGATGCAGCTCAATAAGGTCTGATCAACTGCCATTGAATTCGTCGTAACAACAGATTAATATTATCGTGAATATTCTTATGAATTGTCAAGCAATGTACAGTACATTAACTTCTTTCGGTAACATATAATGAATTATCCTTGTAAATACATTCAATAGCGAAATTAGTTCGTTTTTACTTATTACTGTATGCAAATATATATATATATATATTATGGTAAATACAATTATTAGGCTGATAATTTACGTAATTATAATAAATTCTCTATCCCTCATTACTAAAAAATAAACACTTCATAGAGTTTTACAACGTTTTTTTGTTTTATTTATTCTTTTGATTAGAAATTTTTATAAAAATCTATAAACTCTATATATAGTATTACTCAAATATATTCGTGATAAAGAATCTTACAGCGTGAATCAGAGCTTGAGCGACAGATTAATTTGCAATATTCTCGTGAATAGATGGCAGCAAATTCTGAGGACCTGTTCAAATAAATGCTTAACACAAGACACGAATTGTCAATGCAAATACGAGCAGCAATCTTACACAATTTGTATTATTGCGCTGACTTTTTTCGCTTGATAAAAAAAATACTTTCTTTATTTGTGTGTGAGTATTCTGTACTGGATCATTCATAGAAATATTTTTCAACTTTTGTTCGATTAAACGATCAAATTCTCTTTTTTTCTTAATATCAGTATACCTTATAACTGTGTCGAAAGTTAAATTTATTGTATACATATTGGAATTTTGGGTAAGGAATTGCAAGTTTTACGATTTGACAGGAATAAGATGCCAAAATGGCCCAGACTGTATCGATGTTTGGATTATTTCGTAATGGAGACGACTTTCTATAGGAAATTACCCCTCTTTAGATATTTGTGAGATTCTAGCCGGGGGTACGGAGTAGTTTATTACTCGTGTATCACTTACTCGGCGGCTAGTTGTTGAAACTAGTTCTCGGGTCGTCTACAGGAATGGCTTTTCCCAATTTAAGAAAATCGAGTGCGGGGGGGACTTATAGTTAGAATAAATTTAAAGCGGAACTAAAGGATTTCACAATTCTTTGTTCCTACGTCAGGATCCCGACACCAGTTAATCCAATTTTTTTACGCGGATTAGCACGCGCATGGAGATAATATGGATTTGATTCAGATATTGAATAGGAGACATCTTTTAACATATATAAAAGAATTTAATAAACTAGAATAAACGAAAGTATACAAAATGGATATAATTAAATAATTCAAACGAGCGATTGAGAGAGAATATGGATTCAATTAAAATATACGCGTTGAAAGAGAGAGCTCACAAATTCATTTATAATCATACTACCTTAAAGTTTACTTGGTCTTTATGTTCATCTGTATTCTATGATCATACTTCATTTCATGGAGAAGTCTTGATTTGGCACAATATAAAAAGTTCTTCTTTTTCTCCTAAATTAACTCATTATTATACTCGAATGGATACGACTAAGGGCGTTGGCCTTATGGAGCAAATATGGGAGACGTCTCTCCTCTATGAGATCTTCTGACGTACTCCCCGAATCATGCAGATCTTTGACTATATCCCATGATTTGTGACCAATCAGCTTATTTGTATTCTCTCACGTGAACGGATGAAAAGGGAATTATTGAGGGGTCGACAATTCCCAGGGTGGTGAGATTTCTGATAGATAACTGGAAAACAAAAGGATGTGTCTACTTCCGTTAAAGGAAGTGGCTCTTTTATCAGTTTTCCCACGTTAGAAAAACGATATTTTCACACCGAAATGAAAGAATATTNACGTGAATAAGTTGAAGTTACATCCTTCTAACAGGAAAAGTAACTTTCGTTATCATGGAATTATAACAAAACCTGCCAATTCAATATAAATGGAAAAAAATATTATATGGAATTCAACGAAAATGAAAATTTGCTTGATAATTCAACTACGCTTGTTGGAGAACAATAAAAACACTACTCTCAACAAGCCACCAATGAAACTCAACTGCCTAACCTATAATCAAAGTTTTTTTTTAATTTGTTTTTTAAAAAAAAGCGCTTGACAAACTTGCCCCGCATGCCGAAGTGCCCCGATCTCCCCTATATCAATAAGAGGCTACTTCAACGTTACGAAAAAGTTTCCAGTTAAGGTACTTTTTTACCTATATAAATTTTGTAAATAATTGGTTTTTTATATATGCTTTATTTTATTCTTTCAGATGGGCAACGCTCTTCATTCTATATTTTCTGGTCTTTTGAAACTGAGATCTGCTACTGAAAATTGACATATTTTACATTAGTGCAAATGACGTCCAAAGTGAAAAACACTTTGTAAAATTCGATTTGCAAACTTAAAACGACGAAAGAACTCTTTCCTGTTACGTAACTAGTCGATGTTCAGAAGCAGAATTATACAAATATTTTAATCATCCAATATTCTGAAGATTTCGTTTGATTTCTAAGAGCAGTCAAGAGCAAGTTTTTGATGCTGTCAACGTTAATCCGATATCGGCATTTTTCTTTTACACAAGTCACCATTACTCAACATCCGATTTCTATTATACGATGAATTGAAAGACTTTTTTATTGTCTGAAGAATGAAAGCTACTTTTTAAACAAATAGAGTATTAAAAATGTTACATGAAAAAAAGAAAAAGAAGTAAAGAACTTTAAAACACGTGAAGGAATTTATAAGATATTTTGTACTTGTGAAAATTAAAGTGAATGTTATATAGAAGTAACAGATACATTAGTGGATAAAACGATAAAAGAGCATCAAGCAGCTATTAGATTAGGTATTATGATCTCACCGTGGTATATATTATAGTGAAGCAAATTGTAGCACCAATACTGATGATATTACAAATTTTTCTAAAGAAATGAATACTGTTAAAAGAAATATTAAACAATATTTTTTAATAATAAATGAGAATAATATTTAATTTTTATACGTAATTTATAATTGTATGATAATCTGTAAGAATTAAAATAAGTGTTTCTATCTTCATTTAAGTGTTGTTTCAAAGTTTTAATCGACTTTGAAGTGGGAAGAGGCAGATTATCCATATACATATACATATATTATAATAAATACATCAAATATTAAGCATAATAATTGTATTAGCTATCACTAAATTATTTTAATATATTTAATTATTTTTGGTGTTTTTCAGATGCAGACCTCGTTTCAAGATATTCGAAAATTTTCTGCATGCGATTTATCGCTCGAACAGAAACTAAAAGTGAGTTTTGATACCTCAATACCTCTAAATACCTGAATTCATTAAATGACATATTGAAATATATTTACTTACAGATTTTAAACTTCATGAAGAGATTTGGAAAAGCGTCATTATGTTTGTCAATAAAAGGATACTTCAATGTTACAAAAAAATTTCCAGTCAAGGTATTTTTTAAGTTTTATATCTAAAATTCCGTAATTAATATGCATTTTATATTCTTAACACGATCCTTTCAGATGGCCAACGCTCTCCATTCCATATTTTCTGGTCTTCTGAAACTCAGATCGTCTACTGCAAATTGAAAAGTTTTTTAATCGTTCAAATAACGTCGAAAGTAAAATACACTTTTTAAAATTTAATTTATGAAATTTAAAACGAGGGAGCAATACTTATCTCTTACGTAACTTACCGATAAGCAAAAGCAATATTATACAACACATACTTTCATTATATAAATGTCGAACCATTTATTTTAATCCTGAGAGATGTTAACAGCGAGATCCTGACGCTACTAAACTATATCTGCAGTGTTACTCGGTCATTACTAAATTATTTTCATTATTGAAAGATACGTTCTGCTTCTACTTACCAAATGTAATACATAATTCTTGATATGAAGATATAATACTTAATGATGCAGCTCAATAAGGTCTGATCAACTGCCGTTGAATTCGTCGTAACAACAGACTGATTTTATCGTGAATATTCTTATGAATTGTCAAGCAATGTACATTAACTTCTTTCGATAACATATAATGAATTATTATTGTAAATACATTAAATAGCGAAATTAGTTCGTTTTCACTTATTACTGTACAGTACACAAATATATATATATTATGGTAAATACAATTATTATTTTGATATTTACGTAATTATAATAAATTCTCTATCCCTGATTACTAAAAACTAAACATTTCATAGAGTTTTACAATCTTTTTTTGTTTTATTTATTCTTTTGATTAGAAATTTCTATAAAAATTTATAAACTCTTTATATAGTATTACTCAAATTTATTCGCGATAAAGAATCTTACAGCGTGAATCAGAGCTTGAGCGACAGATTAATTTGCAATATTCTCGTGAATAGATGGCAGCAAATTCTGAGGACCTGTTCAAATAAATGCTTAACACAAGACACGAATTGTCAATGCAAATACGAGCAGCAATCTTACACAATTTGTATTATTGCGCTGACTTTTTTCGCTTGATAAAAAAAATACTTTCTTTATTTGTGTGTGAGTATTCTGTACTGGATCATTCATAGAAATATTTTTCAACTTTTGTTCGATTAAACGATCAAATTCTCTTTTTTTCTTAATATCAGTATACCTTATAACTGTGTCGAAAGTTAAATTTATTGTATACATATTGGAATTTTGGGTAAGGAATTGCAAGTTTTACGATTTGACAGGAATAAGATGCCAAAATGGCCCAGACTGTATCGATGTTTGGATTATTTCGTAATGGAGACGACTTTCTATAGGAAATTACCCCTCTTTAGATATTTGTGAGATTCTAGCCGGGGGGTACGGAGTAGTTTATTACTCGTGTATCACTTACTCGGCGGCTAGTTGTTGAAACTAGTTCTCGGGTCGTCTACAGGAATGGCTTTTCCCAATTTAAGAAAATCGAGTGCGGGGGGGGGACTTATAGTTAGAATAAATTTAAAGCGGAACTAAAGGATTTTACAATTCTTTGTTCCTACGTCAGGATCCCGACACCAGTTAATCCAATTTTTTTACGCGGATTAACACGCGTATGGAGATAATATGGATTTGATTCAGATATTGAATAGGAGACATCTTTTAACATATAAATAAAAGAATTTAATAAACTAGAATAAACAAAAGTATACAAAATGGATATAATTAAATAATTCAAACGAGCGATTGAAAGAGAATATTGATTCAATTAAAATATACGCGTTGAAAGAGAAAGCTCACAAATTCATTTATAATTATACTACCTTAAAGTTTACTTGGTCTTTATGTTCATCTGTATTCTATGATCATACTTCATTTCATGGAGAAGTCCTGATTTGGCACAATATAAAAAGTTCTTCTTTTTCTCCTAAATTAACTCATTATTATACTCGAATGGATACGACTAAGGGCGTTGGCCTTATGGAGCAAATATGGGAGATGTCTCTCCTCTATGAGATCTTCTGACGTACTCCCCGAATCATGCAGATCTTTGACTATATCCCATGATTTGTGACCAATCAGCTTATTTGTATTCTCTCACGTGAACGGATGAAAAGGGAATTATTGAGGGGTCGACAATTCCCAGGGTGGTGAGATTTCTGATAGATAAGTGGAAAACAAAAGGATGTGTCTACTTCCGTTAAAGGAAGTGGCTCTTTTATCAGTTTTCCCACGTTAGAAAAACGATATTTTCACACCGAAATGAAAGAATGTTTTACTTCATTATTTTAACTTTATATTTAAATTGTTAATTAGACCCAGGGATATTCAGATCGTACATATTACACACGTGAATAAAATGTGGAAAAGTCCAAGCGACCAGTCATTTGGTGAGGCACAAACTCATGTCACAGTGCAATAGTTTTAGCCACTCGTCCACTTGTAGGCGTTTTACATATATTTAAGAAACAATCTCTACTTCATCAATTTAAACCGATGCCTTATGCAGGAGCGAATGTAGCAGGGTGTAAAAGAAACAGGTGCATTCTTCTTCTTGGGATTCTTTTAAACTGAAAAACAGATATCCGGTAGTAGAAAACTTTTACTGCGTATTGTGTCTTTTATGATCCTTTTAAAGATTACTGGACCGATATTTTTCTTATGGGTAATTTTTTGACTTTCCGTATTGAAAGCATTAAAAAACAACCCTTTCTTTCTAGGTTAATCGTGTGTTCGGTAACCAGGTCAACTAATAAAAGATTTATGTGAATTTAGAACTTATGATTAATTTGAAACTGTACAGTAGCGTGCCGTCATTGGAAGCAGTGGATGCGCCGCTTCCCTTGTATTTTCTAAAAAATAAATACATATTAATTTTCATCATATGAAAATAATCGCACAATATTTTATTATAACCGCATTATGTATCTTATTACAAATTTTTATACTACACATGAAAAAAATTTAAGATCGCTATTGTATATTCGAATATTAGTGGCGGAGTGGAATCTCTGTACTGTCAAATTCCAAAAAGCCAGATTTGCGCATGCGCTTTACAGACCACCAAACTCACCCGATTTAGTCGGTGGAATCCTAGGACCTTGGGTCGATGCTTGGGTCAATAACGCTTCCAATTCTATCCGGGACCGGTTCTGGGCTGTTAGCCGCCCGCCCGCTAGATATTTGGCCGATTACGCGAATAACGAGTAAATTTATAACTTAACCCAACCGATAAGAATTTACTGGTATGTTTTTACGATAGTTCTGTATTGTCCACAGGAGTTTAAAAAATCCATTATAATACAGTAGAACATCGATTATCCGAACTAATTGGGGATGAAGGTAGTCCGGATAAGGAAAAATCCGGATAATCGAAACAGATACTTTAATTTGTCTTTAATGATAATACAACACGTTTTCTTTTCGATGACATATCGGTAATATTAAAAGTAAATAATGTATTTAAATCGTGATCAAATTTTCAAGAAACAGACGTTCGTATTGAATTTGGACTACTACTGACCAGCGCTAACAGACTACCTATTGTTTAAAAGGCCCTCTGGTGGCGCAAGAAGATGGATTTTATAAAATAAAAAGCAGTTGAAACTGCATTTTTATGAATAAAA